GGTTTTGGCAATATTTGTCTATACAGTTAAACTTTCTGACCAAAAGGTCATAACTTAAGTATAGAAATTAAACTCCCTAACTTTAATTAAAATGTATAAAAAGTCCCTAACTGATCCAACAATGAAATAAATAAAAAAGAATCTAAAATAGCCTAAAAAACTACTAAAAAAACTGTTCAAACTATTTCTTGTTCTTCTTGGAATCCCTCCTAGGGTTTCATCATCCAAATATGATCGAGAATTAGGAGGAATTTGTCGCTTCCAAAGAAGATACTCGTGGCTGTGCACCGATCATCATCACATATTCACCAAATCTAGGGTTTCTAATTTTGAAAATGAAACTAACAATGACTTCAGATGGGAGATTCATATTCAAATCGTGCCCCTGGATAAAGGGACGCTAAGTCATATCTCACTCCCTTTGAACATATCCATGCTCCCGCAGCTTAGTCTGCTCTGGATCATCAGAGGAAATCAACACGCATTCGATCATATAACTAAATACACTAGCTACTGCAAATAAGAAGATCAACAAAAACATTGATGTGACACGTGTCCCTTATTAATCAATTTTTTTGGGTGAACAAAAACATTAATCATTGTTTTCAGTGTGCAGCCGCATTTTGTGTTTCTTGAAATATTGTGCAGTCACAATTCTTCCAATCTGGGTACAAAAAGTAGCTCCATAAACATTTGTTACATCCCAATTCATCATTTGGATGTGACCTAAAAGTCCACATAATGCATTATGATTTCCATGTGCACAGATCCCAGAATGACACCTGATGTGGGTCTCACATTAACTTCCATTTGGTCAATGCCATCTATAAGAAAGATTGAACCCCTTTCTCTGCTAGACATTTATCTCTGAGACACTAATTTGAGTTGCTGCATCCACGGCTTCTTAAACAAATCTCATCCAAACCTGTTCCCTAGGCCTCCAGCTCTGATCACACAGAGCAATTCTCTACCCAACTCTGATAGTGCCAAATCCAAGTCAATTTTCCAAGTTGAAGAGTAAACTCAGAAAATTTGGCCAAGCTTTTCAAATTGCAGAAAAGCGAGGAGAAAAGCCAACAGTTGTCTTGTGGTACTTGAACTTAGTTAGTCAATAAAGAAAAACAGATTTCATACAATTCCACCACCAGTATCATTATGTGATAAAATGACCCAAAAAATGTAAATATAGTAAAATTCTAAAAATCTCAGACAAGTCACTTTTTTCATTTATAAATCAAGGTAAGTGGGCATGTCAAGGTGAACAACTTTTTCCAAGTTGAAATTGAGTTTTTCATCACTGGTCACATATAGTACTATCCATACACTTATACAGCTTCTTGCAGACTCTCAGTATATTGATCATCTCTTAAAGGAAAACAACAAATTACATAAGAAGTACACAGATGTGATTAGTCCATAACATGTTGAAGTAAAAACGCTTTTCAAAGCAATCAAGCATTTCCAATTGTCTGTGCAGGAAGAACCACTAATATAATTAGTATAAGAAATCTCTTTCACAGACTTCAAAAGAAGAAGAAAAAGAAAAAACTCTTTTCACAGTTCAATGCATTGATGTCGAGAAAAATAGAAGGATGGAGCAAATGAGGATTTAGCCACAGCAATAATTAATAGATATCACTTACCCCATATCCGATCACAAACGTCTCAAAAGCAGATGAATGCCTCCAGAAGCCACTAAACAGCAAAAGAAAAGCACATCTTAAGGTAAAACTGAATAGTATGTTTTAAAAACCAAGTAATGTGGTTAAGAACACTTCCGACTAAAATATGTCATACCTTGTCGCTAAAGCGTTATAATAGAATAAATGTGTCATCAATTCCATAAGGAGAAGATTAAGAACCCATCGGACACCATAACAAATGATATTTTTAACGGAATGAGTTTTCTGAGGCAGATCCAACTGTAAATATTAAGCAAGTTAGAAAGGTATGCAAAACTTCAAAGAAAGCAAACAGAAGTTTTAAAAAAAAAGAAATGATACTTGATGAAAATGCACAAAAAAGTTTCAATTCAAGCCTCACATTCTCATCTCTATTTTTCAAGTTTCAATCAAATGCTACTGACAAGAGTAACCTTGTTCATCCCCAAGATAGAATGTACATAAAAGCTAATCAACCCATCAACTATAAATTTCGTAAGTGTACACAGAAATCACAGAAATTTGGAGCACAGTATGTAATTTTCCACTCAACTGGTAACACCAAAAACATTCAAATGTAACTTCTACTCAACAGGCATGAGCCTATTCCTGAGAGTGAACCAAAAAGCAACACATTGTAAAAGAATGCGACGTAAAATATGTGACAAACCTGTGATGAAAATGCGTTAAAGCTTGCAATGGGTCCAGCAATATATAGAGGAGCATAGATGAGATAACACAGATATGTCACAAAGGAGAATCTCTCCATTGGAACACTCTTCTCCTGTCATGCAGCATGATACACAAGTATTAAGATAAACAACTCCCTAAACCAATGTACATAAAGTCAAACATATAGCATGGCAAGAACTTGGCCCGATACAAAATGAAATAATACACATGGTCCTGAATGCATTCCACCGAGTAGCATCAAAAGCATGCCTGCTCAAAATAAACTATGACATGCTTATAACAGAGAAAGCATTAATAGAAGAAGTGCAAAGACAAAACTATTAAGAGAGCCCAATGCACATATCTGCGGCGATATCACGATAAAAACTAGAATTACGTTTTACGACTTTTATTAGCACGTACTTGTGCAACATTTGGACAAGCCTCTCATAACAGCATTAGGTGATATGGCGCCAATGAATCTCCATGTTGGTGGCTCTTTATTTATAACAATAATTGAAAAGGGTACTAGTTGCATAGCAATGACATTAGGTAGGATCATGCTGACTCACGAATGTTTCTCAATATCATGTACTTAACTTTTGTTCAAGGAACCACATCGTTCATTCCCGGAAGGAAGAGAACCTATAACTTTTCCTGAACAAATGGATGTGCCACTTTTCTAGGACCCAAGCTAATGAATTCCGTACCATGAAAAGAACATTTGTAAAACCACATCGTTGATTCCCAGAAGAAAGAGAACCTGTAACTTTTCCTGAACAAATGGATGTGCCACTTTTTTAGGACCCAAGCTAATGAATTACATACCATGAAAAGAAGATTTGTAAACCACTGTAAGCAACAGCCAAATATAAATGAACAATTGTTTCATGCGGCTGGACCTATACGGTCCAGAGGTGTAAAGCATCCATCTTACAGATGGACGCAAATAGTTGGTCCATCTAAAAACAATTATAACTAACGATCCAAATGTTTTCTTCATATATTTATTATTTCTAGTTTTCAAAATTCTTTTTTTTTTTTCATATTCATGATCTCCATGTTAAGATTATATATTCTCTAATCATTAGGATCAAATTATATTTAAAAAAGTTAAGCCCGCATTTCTACATGTGCGGGCTTGGCTGATTGCAAACCGTGTCCAATATAAATATTGTCTCAGACAGAAGATCATTGGATCCTTGAGGATTTCAAATATGTACATTAAACCCCCTAGGAGTCCATTAAACAAATAAAGATAAAATGTATATCTGAGTCACAGAAAGTGCAGGCAGACCAGTCCTTGCAAAACAAAGAATGAACACTACCCCAACAAAAATATACCACGACGGAGAAACCATGAGATTTTTTCCAAGGTGAAAAGGATGTGCCAGTTTTTGTGTTCCCAAACAATGCTTTTATGAATTTCCAAAATACCACTAATTCGGAACTTAGAATAGCATAAATGTGGGTTATTCAGGTAGGAACATAAGTCAAATTGTTAAAGATTCCTAACCTTAAGGAGAGAAGGGCAAATTGATGTACATCGAGGAGCTTGGAACATGGAACCTCATCCCACATATATTACCCTACAAGAGCACAATGGGAGATTTGGATCTAAACTCAGGCGGATGCAGTGGGGCACTGAAGTAAAAGAAAAGACAGCTAATAACAGTCATGAAGCATTAGGTTCCCTGGATTTTCCTTTATCAAACCACAAGCAAGAAGCATCCCAGGTGTACATACATCTATGGAAATATATCGACACTATCCCCCCGTTGCCCCCCCCCCCCACCCCATACCCCTGCTCCTACAGTATACTTTGGTAGCCATAATTTTTGAAGAAAATGTGATCCTGACTAGTGATATCAAATTGCCCTGCTGCAAACATCTTGCTGTGGTAGCCCACCGCCACTAAGTTGCAAAGACAACATATACTCATTAAGATAAAACAGCACCCTTGGACTGTTTTAGACGGTGTACAATGAGATAAAGTTGTCGAGATCTTCTTAACAGGTATCACAAACATGCCAGGGTACACCCCTGAAGAAAATCTAATCTTGAGGACAAAAGCTACCTGTAGAAGATGATAGCATGCTTTTCCAAGAGAACAAGTACTACAATTTTGAGTATGTTTCTGCCAACCACCACAAAAGAAAAGAAACAGCATCATCAGCCTCATTGTAATATAAGAGTGGTAAGCGCATACAAACATTCATGTGTGTTCATGTGTATACACACATACACAATCAAACATATGATATATGCACATCTATCCATAAATGACAAATTAATGTGTGTTAAGTGCGATATACACAAACTTACGTTTAGAAAAAAAAAATGCGTGTGAAGTAGAGAAATTGTTATGAAATTTGAAAACCAAAAAGATGGAATTACAGAACTGAAGATGCAAAAACAGTGTGCATGCCTACAAACCCACACCCAAATAGCAACACAGGAAATCATGCAGAAGCATGCTAATACAACACAAAAACATGTAACCCATCATGGACAACAAATTGGACATGGATAACATCATCATAGATACTGCATTTTTGTTTCTCATTGCTAAGAAATATACATGCACCTTGAGGAATTGGAATAAAAATTCTCAAAAGAAAATGATCAATTTTGTATGAATGACTCACATGCATGCACAAACATGCAAACCAAGCTATTCATGAAAAGGTCCTTGAACAACCATAAAATATTCTGAGAATGATTACGCATGGATACTACAAAATTTTCTATTTTTCCATAGAAATGTGTTCGTTCAAGAAAAGATCCAAAAGATATCGACCGTAAATGAAAAAATTGTGAGAATAATATGTTTACATGAGAACATATAAATATGAACCATGTGAGGGTCTCTACATATAAGTGGGACCTCGGACCTTAGAAATATTGGCTGGCATATATCAAAAGCATGAAATACATGATTATTCCAACCACAAAAGTACAATAGTGTCATTACAGACAACCTAGCAAAGTCCTTACTCATAAAAAGAAAAATCAAGTGAAGCATCAAAATAAAAAGGAGATGAATGAGAAACTGCAAAATTCTCTTAGGTTCGCAGTGTACAAACAAAATTTTAGAGATTCCGGACCCTTGCAGAATCATCTAAAGGTGTCAAAACATAATACATGGAAGTAGATTTCGAAGCCCCATGTCAAAGTAATGGTAGCGCTTCAAAAGACTATTCCCAGAAAATATAGCTCACGATGATAGGAACCCCGAAACTGAGTTTGTAATCCAGATTAATTGTAGATACACTAATAGAATATGTTTCCTACTTGTTTGGGTATTATAGATGGGATTCAAACTTCAACATTGTGATATGGCCATAAAATCCCTAATAGACGAGCCAAGAATGCGAACACTACTTTTATTTCCGTTTGCTTTTTATCCCAAAATTGTTGTTTTCTTTTTCTCCTTTTGTATCTCGAGCATGGTCACAGAGAAGACATAAACCACTTAATTGCTCCCAAAACGTAAATTACATCATTGATACAGGGAATACTCTTCAAAACCATCTCATTGAAACCATTAAAGGATAGAATCATAGTATCATGCAAAAAAGCTAGCAAAACGTGCATTTTATGTTGCCAATACCTTATGGTCAATTCGTGAAGCTCTATATACCCAATGGTAGTCACATCCAAAGCTTATCATGCGTAGAACAACTGCCATGGTATCATCCAAAAAACAAAAAAAAGAAAGATATTATTCGCACTTTTTAAAAAGAACGAAAATCAACACCAATATTGAAAAATAAAAGAGACAGAGTAACCAAAAAGGTTGGCATGGCAGCCTACACAATTTCTGATTGCAAACAAGCAAATGATGGTTAAAACTTCAAGCAAATAAATGAACCATGTGTAGAAATGCACTCCAACCCTGTTAAATTGTTACGGAAGAAAAGAATGATATATAGAGGTATTTTAAAAAACAATGTCCAATAAGGAATACCGAGGTTATAACAAATGTGCCATCTGAAAGTGCCTCTATAGCTGTCCAGAATTGCCCAATTCTGCCTGTCTACATCAAGCACAAACTAAGATCACGAAATAAGAAAATAACAATTACTTCTTCTGCAGGCAATTTGCATGACCAAAGCATAAACAATACAAGTACATTCTTTGTTTAAGACTTAAAACAACATACCCAATTGAGGAGAACGAATATCCTTCATAAATACGGTTGCAAATAAGGAATGATAGATTGTATATCCAAAGGATGCAAGGGAATAACTTTGAATACGCAAATATCTACAAAAAGACATTCAAACAATGGAAAATTCAGATATTCCGGACAACCTCAAGCCTAAAGAATACATTTAGAATGCATCTTTCTCAGTCTCAGCCATATATGAAATGAAACCAGTATGCAAATGGGGCTCGCTCGCCCTATGTGATTGCACAAGTATCTTGCATAACTAGCAGAACAGTACAAGAAGCCAGAAACAGCTACATGGAGATTGGTCAAGGAAAATGGCAAAAACTAAAAGATGATTACCTTCAAATTCATAACAGAAATTAGACAGAATCTCCAAGAGTGAATATAGTTCACAGTCATAGACAAGCAAATAGTAAATGACAGTTGATTACTTCTGGCATTATGAAATACATACTATGGGACTATGGGTGGTAATTCTCTAGTTGCAAATATGATAAATTATGCATGCATCATGTTATGTCACTTAAAATGTATGACAATCTTATGCAAGGTATTGCCTGTCAGGTCCCCACATGAAAAATAAATTATTGGAAAAAAATATTCCTCAAAAACTGTATAGGTAGTTGATTTGCTGCGTCCAAATAAGAAACAGAGCATGAGGTTCGGGGGTGGACAGTTATTTGATTTCCATTAAAAACTTAAGAAAACTAGGACTAGACACAGAGCGAGTTACAACTCTTTATAGATAGGGTTTAAAGAATGTTTCACTGTGTCCCTCCAACAAATGTTTTTATCTTTATGACATAGTACCTCAGAATATCCAAATTTTTGGGGCAGAACAGGGCCCATCACCTGTACACAGCCTACAACACTTGATCCATCAACAAGTCCGAAGGCATATTGCATGTGATTCTAGTAATGATAGACCCAAATTTTGTAGAACATCCAAAAGAGAATATAATTTATGAACAAAACAGACTACTAACAATTATCTTCCACAAAAAATCATCTTGTCAAGATTTTTGAAGCTGAATACTTACAGCAAGGTCCCTAGAAATGGTAATTACTTGCCACATAACGTGCAGCTCAAATGGATCTAGAGACAATCATATCACAGAATCAGAAATTATAGATTGGAAGTCACAATCTTTTTCTTATATATATATATATATATATATATATTAAAAATTTAGATTTCAAGTCACATTATTGGGGCACATTTTAATTAGCTCACACTGGTAGCCAAATATACCCACTATCCAATCACATTCCTGGTTAGAAATATACTAAATAAGCTATTAGCTACTGAATTTACCTCTGTAGATACTTGAGGAACCTAAAAGATAATGAGAGAAGACAATACATAAGAAGTTCTCCAACAAACAAAATCCATTCGCTGTAAAGAAGTATACCCCTTGTTTAACCATATGCAACATTTGATGCATCCCTCAAATCCCAATCAACATAAAGACAATAGAATCAAATCTTAGATTATTTCAGAGTTAGAAAGTCATTTTCTTTAAATCAAGAAGACACTCATGGAAACCATCTTTTGCATAGGTTAGTGTGGTTCAGACCAGTGTTTTAAAATTCGCAAATGGAGCCCATTGCCGCTCGGCCAAATAACAGAACCAATTTCATGATTCAGCCAATTCAAGCATTTTCTTTACTTTTCTTTTTATTTTTCTTTTTTTTAAGTTAGGTTATTGTCTACAACAAACGGAAAGTTTCAAAGAAAGCAAAGAAATAGAAAAATACGACTTCTTTGTCCAAATGCATTTTGCTGTGGCAAACAGGTTAAAGGCCCATTATTTGGAACTTTCGAGGGAAGAAGAAAAGCTGATATCACTACTTTGGAGTTCGAACCCTTCATCTCCTTCATAAAAGCTAGGTGTCACACCAAAGAATATATTCTCCCATTTCAGACGAGTAACCTAAACACGCATTCACTCATTTCCATCCATGAATTTAATTACAGAAGGAACAAATATACCACTGCCTTAGGTTCCATCTAACGAAAGAAAATCCATTTACCGAAACTCAAATGAGTCTGATATGAAATTAACATGATAGAGGCCCAGAACTAGCGCCTGATCCCAAAGATACACAGCAGCAATAAACTATACTTTCCCTAACAGCAACAAAAACAGTCATTGGAACTGGAAAACCCCAATCTAAAGATGTTCCTAAAAAAAACTTCATCTTTTAAACCAACAAAAATGAGTGGGTACTAAATATAAGCTCAATAATGCAGAACCTGCCAGATATAGATATAAGTTCAGAATCAAACACAACTACTAATTTTATCTATCATGAAAAATATAAATACAAAAATATTTGGTCCAAATGCAAGCTAAACATAACGAAAGCAAAGTAACCTTGGTATGATCACACAACCATCATTTCACCGTAATGAACCTGAATGAATCTCAATATACAGTAGCCCTCACAGTACATCAATGTGTGCTAGCTTACTAAATTTGGCTGTATTTTAACATATACAATGCATGATTGGCCAGAAAGAACACAAACATTTCATGACCTACAAAACATGGGTTTACTCATTTTCATCAGAAAAAGAAAAGGAAATTCTACACAAGCAGAGGACTCACCTTCACTAAAATGAAGTTTCCAGAAGCAATTGAAAGGATAAATAAGATGCTGCATTTAAAATTCAAGAAAATTAGATAGTTGTATAAATTCATACACAACAAGATGAGTATGAAGAAGGTCAAGATCAATAAACGCACCAAGCACCATGCAGATAAGCCAGATAAGACAAGGAGATTATTAACCAAACAATCGACATGCCTCTCCCTTTGAGCTGAAATGATGACCTCAAGGTATTTGCTACAAATGTGAATACCCCCATTACAACAGTAAGAATGGGTAAATTCCCACGAAAGTTTCTCCATTGTGAATCAGTGAGGTCCTGCAAAATAGTCAGAATTTAAATTGCAAATGAAAATCAATAGATCATCACAGGTTTTTCTATAGCAACACACATTTTACATGGACTGAAGTAGCAAAACTTAAAAAGTATCATCCCCAAGAGAAATTAGCTTTGCAGATAAATAGACAGCATCTTCATGCTTAAAATGAAAGGTAATCACACCAGACAGCCGCATAGTGCATAGAGGTATATGGCACACAAGTGAGGCATCCATTGTGTTTGCAACAAATGAACTTCACAACAAATAAACAGTGAAAATCAGGCATAATACACTTTGCTGCATTACCTATGATGAAATATCCAAGAGACTGTCGAGCTTCCCTAAATTTCGAGAGGGTGTGATAGTCTACTCGTGAATCAGATAAACAAAATAGGAACACAAAGTTACTTACCCTAACAAATAGCAAAAAAAAATACAATACCAGTTACTTTTAAGTGGAATGAAGCTAAAATATATTTAACAAAACATGTTTTAGAGTTTCTAGCAGCACCATTTTCAAATACTGTAATAAAGCATATAGCGATTCCAGTATATCAATAATAAATCTGCATTCTATATATACAAATGCTTCGAGTCTTTCTCTCTGTCTCTTTCGCATAGTTAAAGTAAATTGCACTGCAATTATAACTAGAAGATCATAGCCAATTTCAACACCATTTAAACCAGAATAACACATCAAATTACAGTGCACACAAATGGAGCAAATTAAATATGAAAATATCCATACGTTAGGTCGGCCCCATAACCATCCCTGTACAAAATTTCGAGGTGTTGCAGAGCCATGCCAAACCAGATATTCTGCAAAAAAAGAAGAATGAGAAGAATAAAACATAGACACCCTAAATTGGCCCTAAATCACTGAGAAAAAACAAATCATGCCCTAAAAGAAGCTCGTAAATAAAGAGAATAAAGTAGAGAACCAACCATGGGAGAGATGCAGGGAACGTCTGATGAGGATGACATAGAATGCAACAGCGTAAAAGGTGAGGAGGACGAGTTCAAGGTACTTGAAGTGCCTGCAATTGATTTCCATGGGTTCCTCAGAGGGATCAACGCGGGCTCAGTGGCGCCAAAGCCGCATGAAATTTATAGGCGAAGGACAAGAGAGAGCGATCATAAATGAAGTGGCGAAGGACGAGAGAGAGATCACAAAGGCCTATGCTAAACAAAATGAAGCCTCATCTTAAATCCTCGTCCCGAGAGCACTTTCGACAACATAAAAATCAATTTTTATTACTCATAATAAAATTTGATTTTAAAAGACAAATTATAAATTTGATTCTAAAAAATAAATTGCGTTGACCATTTATCTTTTATACGTGAATTTCATAATCATTTCCACTCGTTAAATATCAAATTAGATTACAAATAGTCTCTTTCTAGACGATCCCCACTAAAAAAAGAAAGTACAAATCTTGCTCCACGATTTATAAACATTTATTTTAAAGGTGAAATGAACGAAATAAATAATTTGTTACAATAAACATTATGTTTAGAGCTTGAAATCCTAATTTTTTTCCACAATCATAATGTTTAAGCCAAGATAATCGATGTAAAGGTTTTTCAATACTTGAATTACTATTTTCGATGAGTTATGAGGTGAGGTTTTACTTATTTTACTAGGGCTGCAGCCCTATCATACCATTTTCGGACAGGAGAAAGATTCCAGCGGCGTTTGAGAACTGTCTTTGCGGTTTACCCAAGAAAATACCAGTCGTGTTTCCTAGAGTATAGGAGGAAAATGAAAATTTGTAGTGTGAAAGTAAGGAATCTTGTTTGATAATTTGTAGCGCTATATTTTTACCTGTTTGGTATTGGGAAAGCTAGAAACTACCTTTCATACTCATTCATTATATACGTGTGAAATACATATTTTGTATAAAAAAATTTTCTACAACCCCAGTTCGTGTGAAATACATATTTTGTATAAGAATTTTTTCTACAACCCCAATTCCTGTAAAATGTTCTGTTTAGATTGAAATATGTTCTTATCTGCATGTAAGTCAAGAGTGGTAGACAAATGCAAAAAATCTTACGAACGTATTTTGAGCAAGAATTTTTTACTACAAACCACCAAATGCATTTATTATAAAATATAATGTTCATATTAAAATTTGTTCTCATCTACATATGAGTTAAAGAATGGTAAACAAATGTTAAAAAACTCATGATGTACTTACACATTTACTAATAATATTAGAAAATTGTTATATACCAAGTGATTTACTGATTTATTTTTTTGATTAATTGATAAAATAAAAACTGACAAATTTACTTATAAATATGGAAAAATTATGTTAGATGTACAACAAGATAAAAGATCACTTACCAAATGGCACATTTGCACCAATCACTCATATTAGTACTAACCCACATATCCATATCCATCATATTTTATGTGTTTCTTCATTTGCCTTTAATATTATCTTTGTTAGCAAACTCACATCTTCTCAGCATTGTCCAGTTACATTTTCTCGTGATTATTGTGTTTTTAGGACCAGTCCAAGAAGATGATGTTTGGAGTGGCTAAATAACATGGTGGTCACTATTATTTTTATGCTTCTAACATTCTGAGTACTACCCTCTCAACCAACTTGGCTGGTTTTGATATGTGGCATTGGCGACTAGGCCATGTCTCTTTAGGAAGAATAAACACTTCATCTAAGACTGTTTCTAAAATTTCTAGTATATCTTCAAATCATTGATATATGTCTACTTGTCAAACAAACATGATTGTTACTTCATTCTAGCACCATTGCCTCCACTGCACCATTTGAATTAATAAATTGTGATATTTGGGGTGTTACTCCACACCTTCTCATTTTGGAGCTCATTATTTTTTTTACTTTTGTCGATGACTTCTCTCGATATACATGTGTATTCATAATGCATTTTAAATAAAAAATATTAAATTTTTTGAATTATGTTTTTGCTCTAGTCAACACACAATTTAATTGTAAAATCAAACAAAACCGGCTCCCAAATTTTTTCTAAAGACGAGGAACTTTTCAAGAAAATGGTGTTCTTCAACAACATAATTGTGTTGTTACTCCGCAACAAAACGGTGTTGCTAAACACAAAATCATTATATTATTGAAAATCGCTTGTACCTTACGCTTTCAAGCTCATTTGCCAATTCAACTTTGGAGTAGCTGCATATTAACCGCTACATGTCTTCTAAATCGTATCCTAACCCCTGTACTATCCTACAAAACCTCTTATGAACAACTTTTTCACAAGCCTCCAACCTATTCACATTTACAGGTATTTTGGTTGCTTATATTATGCAACCACTCTTGCACACAACCGCGAGAAATTTGACTACAGATACGGACAGGAAGACTATCGTTTGTTTGATCTCCAAAACCAGTCTTTTTTTTACCAATCACGATGTAGGCTTCCATCAAACAATCTTCCTCAACACACCTACCACCTACCTCACCAGACCATGTTCCCCCTCCCGATGGTAATGTTCCCCCTCCCGATAGCTTACCATCCCCCGCTGCTACTCAAATTAATAGCGAGCTACCTTCCTTCACACCGATCATGCATCTTCACATAGCTCACGTAATTCCCACCAAATACCTACCTCCCACATGGATACTGGTCAGCTTTCCTCTGATGTCTAAGCCCATGACATCAATATGCATCTCCCTTGTCAGTCCCATCGAATTCATCAACCACCCTCATATCTCCTTGATTTCCATTATTCACAAGCCATAGTACCATGTCACTCCATGGCACCTTCTATGACAGGTTCGAAAAAAAGATACTCGACATCACTTGTCAAATTATGTTTCATATGCAAATTTGTCCTAATTGTATCTTCTATACCTGAACCCACCTCATTTTCACAAGTTATGTGTGATCCCAAATGGTATGAAGCAATGACAAATGAATTTTGGTCCCTCGAACAAAACAAGACTTGGTCGTTTACTCTCTTTCCACCTGACAAGAAGCCCCTCGGATGTAAATAGGTTTGAACTACCATGAAGCTTTCGTTCCAATTGCAAAGTTAGTCATTGTACGTTGCCTTATTGCTATTGCTTCTATACGACATTGACCCTTACATAAGTTGGATGTCCAAAATGCCTTCTTATATGGGGATTTAAATGAATATGTATATATAACTATGCCTCCCAGTTTTTCAAGACAGATGGAGAAACTTTACAGTCTCAAATAGGCATCCTGATAATGGTTTGCTAAGTTTTCAACTGCTCTCCAAGACACTAGGTTTACACAATCCAGAGCTGTCGATTTTATTTTTATTTGTCAAACCCTGAATGAGTTTACACTGGTCCTTGTATATGTGGATGACATTATTGTTACCAAGAATAATCCACATGCTATTAACAAACTCACAAAAAATTCTCCAATGCCAATTTCATATTAAAGACCTTGGTCCTCTAAAACACTTTCTAGGCACTTGCTCTCGTTATTGTATTTGTTTATCTTTGCGCAAGTATACACTTGAGATCTTAGATGACATGAGGCTGCTTGGGGACAAACCTATAGATTTTTCAATGGAGCAAAATTTGAAACTCAATTCAAATAGTGGTGATCTCCTCTCTAACCCCATTCAATATCAACGTTTAGTTGGTCGGCCCATCTACTGATCTATGACTAGACCTAATATCGTTTATTCAATTCATCTTCTAAGTCAATTTGTGAACAACCTGCAGATGCCCCACTTAGTTGCTACACATAGAGTTCTTTGCTACCTCAGGAAATCAATTGGCCAAGGTCTATATATGCCTGCCGATAGCTCCCTACACCTTCGAGTCTTTTGTGACTAAGACTGGGCAAGTTACCCAAACACACAAAGATCAAGTACTAGATATTGTGCCATGCTTGTGACCTCACCTATTTCTTAGAAAACCATGAAACTAACTATTGTTTCTTGGTCCTCAACTAAAGTTGAGTACAAAGTCATGGCATCGACAACATGTGAACTCACCTGACCATGTTATCTGCTTCAAGACTTAGATGTGGCTCATACCCAGTCTGCACTACTTTTATGTGATGATCAAGCGGCTTTACACATAGCTGCCAACTTTGTATTCCACGAGCTTATAAAACACATAGAAATTAATTATCACTTTGTCAAAGACAAAATTCAAGAATGTCTCCTACGACCTTCATACGTCCCTACATCTCATAACGTTGATGACATTTTCACCAAGTCATTGGGCAAAGATCAGTTCAATACTCTGATCCATAAGTTAGATGTTCTTGATATTCACACTCCAACTTGAGGAGGAGTGCTAGATGCACACCAAGTCAAGAGAATCGTGTATATCTTTTATCTTGTTGAGTCGTCATATACCAAGTCAAAAGTTGTAACTATGTAATATATCCCAATGATGTGGGGATTACAATCAAATAAATCTCTATATATATCTACTCTCAAAGTAATGAAAAATACACAACTTTTCCCATTTAACAAATTAGTACCAAGAAACTCACTGATTATCACATTTTTCCTAATAAATTGATTAATGCCAATAGTTCAACACATTGACAATTTAACTGATTTATTGACATATAATAAAACTAGTAAATATCAGTAGATTTACTGATTTAATATATTTTTTGAATAACTGATTAATAAAGTAAAAACACTGACAAATTTACTTGTTCACTGATAAATGTTCAGGAATTAGTAAATATAAAATATAAAAATTGTTCAATACAAAAGATTGGCGAATTTAAAAGGATCGAGGAATTTATTGTTTTATTAATAAATATCAGGAAATGTGTAAATACTTGCATATTTACTTATTTGTTTAATTTTTCTAATTAACTAATAAATATTAGTAAAAAATAGTAGATTTCCCATTATCGGGCATGGAGGAAATTAAAAACAAAAACGAAAACTAAAAATGAGTTGAAGCTTGAAGAGAGACGGTAGATCGATGTGGGAATAAACAAATAGCACAAAACTAGAGAGGACCTTAGACTTGAAGAGTGATGCCTGAGCAGGAGACAAGTGTCTACTCGATATATATATATAGCTATATATATATATAGCGTCCCATCTTATTTTTTCAAATAGATTAGGAGTTAACTTTTTGAAAATGTCAATGGACAGTGTCAATACAATTGAAAATCACCATGTGGTAACTAGGTACAGGGTGCTACCACCACAGCCCAGCCCCTTTTCTGTTAGTGATTT